AACACACCTCTCTCACCACTGGACAGATCTTCCAAACAAAAGTTGAATAAAGAAACCATAGAGCTCAATAAAATAATTAATAATTTAGACTTAATTGATATATACAGAATATACCACCCAACATCAAGCGGATATACTTTCTTCTCAGCAGCACATGGATCCTTCTCAAAAATAGACCATATATTATGTCACAGGGCAAATCTTAGCAATTACAAAGGAGTAGAGATACTACCATGCATTTTATCTGATCATAATGGAATGAAATTGGAAATCAATAATAAAATGAGAAAGGAAAAATCCTACATCACATGGAGATTAAACAATATGCTACTGAATGAACAAAGGGTTACAGAAGACATCAAAGAGGAAATTTAAAAATTCTTAGAGGTAAGTGAAAACTCAGACAAAACATATCAAAATCTCTGGGACACAATGAAAGCAGTACTAAGAAGAAAATTCATTTCATGGAGTTCATTCCTTAAAAGAAGGAAAAGCCAACAAATAAATGACCTCACACTACACCTTGAAGCCTTAGAAAAAGAAGAACAAATCAGCAGCAAATACAGTAGAAGGCAAGAAATAATTAAAATTAGCGCTGAAATCAATGAATCAAAACAAAAGAAACAATCAAAAAAATTGACAAAACTAAAAGTTGGTTCTTTGAAAAAATAAATAAGATTGATAGACCACTAGCCACACTAACAAAGAGAAGAAGAGAGAGAACCCAAATTACTAGCTTACGGGATGAAAAAGGCAACATCACAACAGACAATTCAGAAATACAGAAGATAATTAGAAGTTATTTTGAAACCCTATACTCTAATAAAATAGAAGATAGTGAAGGCATCGATAAATTCCTTAAGACATATGAACTACCCAGATTGAGTCAGGATGATATAAACAACTAAACAGACCAATATCAAGTGAGGAAATAGAAGAAGCCATCAAAAGACTACCAACCAAGAAAAGCCCAGGACCGGATGGATATACAGCAGAGTTTTACAAGAACTTTAAAGAAGAACTAATACCAATACTCTACAATCTATTTCAGGAGATAGAAAAAGAGGGAGAACTTCCAAATTCATTCTATGAGGCCAATATCACCCTGATTCCCAAACCAGATAAAGACACCTCAAAGAAAGAAAACTACAGACCAATATCCCTAATGAATTTAGATACAAAAATCCTCAATAAAATTCTGGCAAATCGGATACAAAAACATATCAAAAAGATCGTGCACCATGATCAAGTAGGATTCATCCCTGGGATGCAAGGCTGGTTCAATATACAGAAATCAATAAACGTTATTCACCACATCAATAGACTTAAAGATAAGAACCATATGATCATCTCGATAGATGCAGAAAAAGCATTCAACAAAGTACAGCATCCCTTTATGTTCAAAACACTAGAAAAACTAGGGATAACAGGAACTTACCTCAACATTGTAAAAGCTATATATGCTAAGCCTCAGGCTAGCATCATTCTAAATGGAGAAAAACAGAAGGCATTCCCTCTAAAATCTGGAACAAGACAGGGATGCCCTCTCTCACCACTTCTACTCAATATAGTTCTCAAAATACTGGCCAGAGCAATTAGACAGACAAAAGAAATTAAAGGCATTAAGATAGGAAAAGAAGAACTTAAATTATCACTATTTGCGGTTGACATGATTCTATACCTAGAAGACACAAAAGGGTCTACAAAGAAACTACTAGAGCTAATAAATGAATTCAGCAAAGTGGCAGGATGTAAAATCAACACGCATAAATCAAAGGCATTCCTGTATATCAGTGACAAATCTTCTGAACTGGAAATGAGGAAAACCACCCCATTCACAATATCATCAAAAAAAAAAAAAATACTTGGGAATCAACCTAACAAAAGAGGAGAAAATTTATACAATGAAAACTACAGAACCCTAAAGAGAGAAATAGAAGAAGATCTTAGAAGATGGAAAAATATACCCTGTTCATGGATAGGCAGAACTAACATCATCAAAATGGCGATATTACCAAAAGTTCTCTATAGGTTCAATGCAATGCCAATCAAAATCCCAATGGCATTTCTTGTAGAAATAGAGAAAGCAATCATGAAATTCATATGGAAAAATAAAAGACCCAGAATAGCAAAAGCAATTCTAAGCAGGAAGTGTGAATCAGGAGGTACAGCGATACCAGATTTCAAACTGTACTACAGAGCAATAGTAACAAAAACAGCATGGTACTGGTACCAAAACAGGCGGGTGGACCAATGGTACAGAATAGAGGACACTGAAACCAATCCACAAAATTACAACTATCTTATATTCGATAAAGGGGCTAAAAGCATGCAATGGAAGAAGGATAGCATCTTCAACAAATGGTGCTGGGAAAACTGGAAATCCATATGCAACAAAATGAAATTGAATCCTTTTCTCTCACCATGCACAAAAGATAACTCAAAATGGATCAAGGAGCTTGATATCAAATCAGAGACTCTGTGTCTGATAGAAGATTGAGGAATTGTCAGACCTAGTACATTTGGGTTGTGTTGATCATCGTGCACATCTATGTATAACATCTCTCAGATTTAATGATTCCAGAAATACCTCTCAAATCATTGGACAGTACCTGGCCAGAAACTGGTCCATGGAAGCAGAGAAGTTGATCCAGACCCAACTGACACAAATTGCCATGTTGAACAACACTCGTGTGGACCCTGTGACATTGGGCCAATTTATGAATTGGCTGTCTTCTGCCTTTTCTTTCTTTAAGGAATGGGTGGGAGTAGGCATTTTTGGAGCAATATGTTGTTTTGGGGTTGTCCTTTGTCTGTGGCTTTTCTGTTGCCTAAGAGCTCGCCATAGCCAAGAAAAGGCTATGATCGTCCAGGCTTTTGCAGCCCTAGAGAATGGTATCTCTCCACAAGTTTGGCTTGTGCAACTTAAGCAATGATTTCCTGGGTTTTGGCCATTGCACCCCAAGTCATCTTTGACATTGCACTGGGTTTGGCATGCCCTCCTCTTCCTGCCTTCCCAGTTTTGGAAGGCCCATGCACTCTGCAGGCCTTGTTGCCATTGCACGCAGGTGGGCTTCCATGCTGGTGCTGCACTTTATGCTTTGGACCCTTCGTTTTCTCAGGGGCTGAGGGATGGTGTTGCCACTTCCAACCTCATAGTCACTGACCAGCTACTTGTAAAATCCCCTTTCCTTTTCACCGTCAGCACGATGCAGGATGCGAGGCAAGGCACTGCACTTGAGTGATCCGGTCTCCGGACCTCAAGGGAAGCATGTCCTATTGCATACGGGTTTGGCGTCCACGCCCTGTCCCACGAAAAAAGGCGTCGGCTGATATGGTGTCAGATCTAGGGAAGGCACCTCCTTAGGACTGAGCCATACATTGCAGCCATGTTTGCACAGTGGGATAGGACCTCTACTTTCGCCTGCATTGTTTTTTAAGAGATAAGGGGGAACTGTGGTGAGCCGTGTTTGTAGACCGTTGCCGCCATTAGAAGATGGCGCCGGTCTCCGTTGTAGATCTTGGTAAACAACTCCTTATTAGGAAAAGTTGGCGCGCTGTCCCTCAACACCCTATGAGAAAACCCCGCGTGGCAGCTTTGGATTGGACTTGAGTAAGCTTTATTAGGCTGTGTGTGGGGGCATGGAAAGAGTGCGCGCTTGAGAGAAGACTAGAGTTAAGGCCTGAATAAACCGCTGAAAGAAGAATCCTGTGTCGTGTCTTCCTTGCTGGCGAGGGGGTCGCGACACATATGGGTTTGAAGGTATTCCCACAAGTAAGCCTCAAGGTTTTTTACATTTGAAATAGACCTTAATGGTGCTCATTATTCATTAGCCTCCAGGTGTGGGAGAACCATTGTCACAGATGTAAGGATAGCTAAACTGGAGTTCTGGATATCAGCTGTTATGGATTTGAGCCAAAGCATCTTCTTTTTGGTCTGAAGAAATCGCTTTAGTTAGTCTCTCTGGAATCCAAATTGGCTGCTGTTCTTCCTTGTGTGGAAACACACAAACAGACCCCCGACTCCAGACAATCGCTGGGTCAGGACCTCTAATGATAATAACTGTAAGCTGATGCAGCTGTGGTGACAGCTGTAGAATACCAAATCTGAAGGTAAATGCTATCACCATAATTGAAAACTGGAGTTCGGGATATCAGCTGTTATGGATTTGAGATATTGCTAACCCTGCATTTCATTCTCTCTCCCTATCGCCGTCCCCTGGCAACCTCAGACGGCCCTGGGTAGTGTCCCGGACTCAAACTGCCACCGGGCCACACAGGGAGCAAGAGCCTGCAAGACTGTGCCTCCAGGTCGGGAGGGCAGGTCCAGGCTCGGGCTCGCAGCCGCAGCATCCTGCTCCCCGGGCGGGGGGCGGGGAAGGGCCAGTGCCACCCCTGCTGCCGCCGCCGGCTGGAAAGTCCCTGCTGCTGCACTGCGATCGGCTCACGCACGCGGCGGCCACCGCACCGCCTCACGCACCCTCCGGTGACAAAAGTGGTTAATAACAGCCTTTTGTTGTAATTCCTTCCCTGATAGTCCTTTCTCTTCTGAACTTTCTTCCTCTTTCTGACTAGAGTTCCTGGGCTTTTATCAACGTATGCCCTAACTGTTCTTGGTTTTACTGGGGTGCCTCCTTCCTTTAGCAATTTACTTAACACCCTTTCAGTTTGATTTTTACTAACTTCTAATCTCATATTTCTATAGTAAAGATAACACAATACACTAAAATAACACAAAACAAAAACACACTGTATCAATTTTTCTTTTTTCTTGAAATGGCCATCCGTCCTCTCGCCATATCTGCTTCCTCAGGGGCGAGCAGCTTTCCTCCCCCCCCCTATATATTTCTAGGGATGGGCAGCTTTCCTCCCGTCCTATCTATTTCTAGGGACGGGCAGCTTTCCTTGTCACTTACCCCCGAGCGTCCCGGAGTTCCCCTGTATGGGCCACCATTTGCCATGGTCCAGCTGGGCAAAATAACCGGGAGGTGACAAGCAACTTGAAGGTTGAAGCGGGAACTGCTTTATTACGGAACAACAGTGGTATATATACCTAACTGATTACACACAGCTTGACTCAGTTAGCATCATCCAGATACAGCAATCAGCCAATAAGGAATCCTCACCATCTTAATGGCTCCGTGGTGTTGCCTCACAAACCACTCCTCCTGGCAAACTGCCAGGCGCTATCTTGACTTGATTTGTGGTCCCCAACACATCCATCTTCTGCAGGCCCCTGCTGTAGTGAGGATAGGCTTCCTTTGAATTCTTTTTTTTAAATATTTATTTATTTATTTTTAGTTATATGTGGACACAATATCTTTATTTTATTTTTATGTGGTGCTGAGGATTGAACCCAGGACCTCACGCATGGCAGGCAAGTGATTCTACCTCTGAGCCACAACACCAGCCCTTCCTTTGAATTCTTGCTGCCACGACCACAGGGCCTCCTGAGGATGCACCTTCTGAACCTGCCACCCCCTGTGTCAGTACAGCTCCTGGAGGCAGGCAAAAGCTCTGTGGACATCCCAAGACATGCAGACTGCACTCCCAAATGGGGTCATTCTCTATAAGGACCTGAAGGCCAGAAACAAGGTAGGACAGGGCCAGGGCCAGATGCTCATGGCTCAGCACTACCACACCAACTTCCTCAATCCCTGCACCTTCTGTGAGCTCTGTCTCTGGCCTTGTTAAAAATAGGCCTTTCCCCTCCTCCCAGAGCAGCCTAGAGCTGCTGGCATCCCCATCCTCTGAGTCCAGGGGGACCCTGCAGGATCTGGAGAGCTCTCCATGGGCCTGCAGAGGCAGGCGACATCTGCCTCAGCCACATCCCCAAGCACGACCACATGGCTGGTTAGCACTGTAGTGCTATGGCAGAACCAGGGAACGCTATCAGGCTCAGTGATACAATCCTCCAAGCCCTGTTCACAGTAATGGGTGCAGTTCTGCCCAGGCCTCAGCAGCATTGTGCACTGTGGTCTTGACAGTATAGCTGTGCCAAAACTCCTATGCAGAGAGTTGGGCCTCACCAGCTATTTCCTGGACTGGCTGGTTGAGCATGCAGCACAGGTAATAGGTCTTGAAGGCAGCAGTGATGCCCTCGTTCATGAGCTGGATAGAAATTGAGGTGTTCTTAGGTAGGAACTCAACATGCCTGAGGTGTCACCCAGGTGTACAGGGAGGGTGGCAAGTTACACCATCCAGGAGCAGTAGGGCATGGTAGCTTTCCATGGTGGGACAGAAGGGTCCAGTGAACCATTTCTGGAAGATGTTAGGAGTCAGCCAGTCATGGTGGTTGGAGTATCAGACCACAGGCAGGCTGGCCTTGCAGCAGCCCTTGAGGGAGTGCAGATTCTCCAAGGGGCTTTAGCTTGAAATCACCAGAAGCACTGCCACCCAGTAGCAGAGTTAGGTGATACTTAGAAGTCTTGGGCCCAGCCCAGACACCCTCTCAAGCAGCCGCTTCCAGAACAGGCCTGTCTTATCCACATTGAAGGCCTGGGGTGGTAAGTAGCAGCCCTCCTTCAGGATGGTGTATAACTTTGGGTTATCAAGCAGCAGCCTGGGTGTCATCGTGGCATATCTTGAAATGGACAAACCAGCCATTGCTGGCCCCAAAGTTTTCAGTCTGAGCACTATTGCCCTGCTCTATTGAAGCCATGCAAGAAGCTGGTGTGTCTTGTCCTGGATAAGCAACATGCTGGCTCTCCATATGGCTCATCACCATACTCCAACAGCAGGTCAGCTGCCTGGCACTGACTGGAGTGGCCACCTGAGAACTGGCCAAGATCCGACCTTTGTTGACACGGATGGAGGCAACAGTGCAGATGGTCAGCCCCACGGCCCAGGCAGTCTGTCAGTTTCTCACCCTCCTCAAACCTCTGCGGCACCTCCACTTTCATATGTATTGTGATAGACTTCTGATTCCTCTTGGCACTGCCTTTTCTGACACCTGTAGTTGGGGGCTGCCTTCATTTTGCCTCCTTGCTCCATACACTTCAACAAGCTGTCTTCTCCCTGCCTGGAGCTGCTGTTGTGCCCACAGTGGTAGTCTCTTGCCCTCTCTTGTCCTCTCTCGCCACCTCCTCTACCTGTAAGAAGGAAACACATGAACTGTTTTTAATATTTATTTTTTAGTTTTATGTGGACACGATATTTTTATTTTATTTTTTATGTAGTGCTGAGAATCGAACCCAGTGCCTCACACATGCTAGGCGAGCGCGCTACCATTTGTGCCACATCCTCAGCCCCAACACATGAACTTTAATGTGTGACACATACCTGGCCATCCCATGCTCTTCACAGACCACCCAGCCCTGCCAACCACTGCTCCAGCAGCACACCCAGCCTCTTCTCTCTCCTACTAGAAACACTACAAACTCACTTCTCAGCCTTCTTATGACACTAAAAGAGGTCTTCTGGGGGACTCTGCTTTCTTCTTACACTGATGTAGGGTGGTCTAGGAACCTCTTGCCACCCTAAGGGAAAGAGAATTGGGAGAGCTTGACCCACCTCCAAGACACAGGTGAGCCACCTGTCTCCACACTTCTCATGCAGAGACATCAAGTATCAGTGAAGGGCACCTAAGGATGTCCACACTCCTAATTCCAGAAACCTATTAATTACTTTACATGGTAAAAGAAACTTTGTAAATTAGTAATCCCAAATTAAGTAGATTATCTTGGGTTATCCAGGTGGCCCCTAAATGTAATCACAGGAGTGCTAATAAGATACCCAGAAATATTTGACCAATGAAGCCTAGATCCTCAAGGAAGTAGCCTTGCTGATAGCTTGATTTTGGTTTAGTGAAATCCATTTCAATATTCTGACTGCCAAGACACTAAGATGAGAAAGCTGTGTGGTTTTAAAACACTAAATTTATAGTAATTTGTTATAGCAATCATTAGAAATTTAACACAGAAGGTAACCTCCTGAAAAGCTTAGAGTATGTGGTGTGAGAGAAGAATGACAGTCCTCTACATGACAGAGTAATGAAGTAAGACTGAAGCCAGATCCTGTCCATCCTCTGGTAGGGTCCTCCCAGGCCTCCCAACTCTGGGGGTAAATGTCACAGTTTCACTGGGTTCCTTGTGGCATCAAAGCCTCCTTCTCTCTTTCACTCACTCTAGACCACATCTCTAGGCAGAGTTCTTCCCCGTTATCTACATAGCTTGTTCCCCCATCTTCTACAGGTGTCTGTTCAACTATGACTTATCAGAAAGGCCCTACCCCTTGTATTTAACTGAGCCCTCTGTTGTGTCTCCAGACCCTGAAGTACAGAGAGTGGTGGGAGGCCACTTCCCACACTGTTCCTTTTGCATTCTGAACAATGTGACCCTAGCAGCTGATCAAAACATTAGGTCCTCCCCTATCCCGTGTTACTGGTATAGAATCCAGCGGCAGTCTACTACAAAGCTACATACCTAGCCTTCTTTCTTATTTTATTTTGAGACAGGGTCTCACTGAGTTGCTAAAGCTAGCCTCAAACTTGTAATCCTCCTGCCTCAGTCTTCCAAGTGGCTGGGATTACAGGAATTTGCCACAATCACCATTACAAATTTAAAGGAGTGCTTGAATGGTCTGTTGGTGGACTGGCTAGGGCGCCAAGGACAAATCCCCAGGGTCAGGAGCCTGGGAAGGCAGGGAAAGGCTCCTGCCTGTGTAACAGGGGTCCATTTCATGCTTAGGACATGACCCTTGCTGCTTCTGTCTCTGTGGCTTACTTTTAAACTGATATGTTTTTGTTTTGTTTTGTTTTCTCCCTCTCCCTCTCCCTAAACTTCTTCCCATACTAGGCCACATTATCTGTCCTTGAGCAAACCTGTACCACAGGAATGGAGTGATTCAGACTTCAGGGATGGCACAATAAGATCTAAAAAATGACTGTCTCCTTCAGCAACAGTGAGGCATTAAGAAACTCAGTAAGACCTGTCTCTAAATAAAATACAAAATAGGGCTGGGGATGTGGCTCAGCAGTTGAATGCTCCTGAGTTCAATCCCCAGTACAAAAAAAAAAAAAAAAAAAAGTCTCCCAAGTCTACAAGTGAATTACAACCCCTAACAGGGCACACCTAGAATGTAGCCTTTGAATCATCTCTTTAAAAATCCCTCTGTTGCAGTACTTGGTGGTGCATGTCTGCAATCCAGCAATTTTGAAGGCTAAGGCAGAAAGATCATTAAAGCCAGTCTCAGCAATTTAGCAAGGCCCTAAGCAACTTAATGAGATCCTGTCTCAAAATAAAATTAATACATTTTTAAAGGGTTAGGATGTGGCTCAGTGATTAAGTGACCCTACATTCAATACGTGAGATATATATATATATATATATATATATATATATATATATATATATATATATATATGCCATCTCTTTCCCAAGAGGCAGAATCAAGCATCTGGAACAGGAGTTCCTGTGTTTTGCCTTTGCTAGAAAATCAATAAAACTTATTTTTCCTTTTTTCTCAAAACTGTGTCCTCATTATTGGATTGGTTTTAGGGACTAGGATAGAGTTTTCAGTAACACCTGAAAGGGGCCCCAGTCCTTCTGTCTCCTGTATCCATGCCTTGACCTGCTCACCCACAATTTTAATTTTGCTCATTTCCCCTCTCCCTCTCCGGAGTGGCTTCCCAAGCCCTCTTGACATGCAAGATATGAGTGGAAATGGCATCTCGCAGAACCCAGGAGCCAGGAGCCCACAGCCGCCAGGAAGATACCTGCATTGGTGGCTGAGCAGGGGAGCCATCAGCCCAGGAGGATTGGGTGGTGCAGCCAGCCACTCTGGCCTTCCTGCCTCCTTTCCCTCTGGCTTTTGCCTGTTTTTCCTCTCTGGCTGTCCTTCCAGAATGGGCTCCCTTCAGAATGTCAATGTGTGTATATACTCTGGGAGAAGGGGCTTTTTTTGTTTCTAGAGGGAAGGAGGCAAGACAGCCAAAAGGCAAGGTCTCAACACCCCTGCCCCACCCCTACTCCCCCATTATAATTTTTTTAAATTACAAACAACTCTCAGGAAGCATGTGTCAGAAACTCATGTACCTCACAGAGGAACCAGGGGTCCCAATACTGACATAAAAGCCCAAAGTCAGATGCAAAACTTCTTAGTGACCTAGCCAGCAATACACTGGACAGAAAGCATCAGCAGTCTTTCAGCCTTTTACAAGTAAGTCTCTAATAAACCACCCCTGGACCTTGACCAAAAGTAGTTAATTGAAGGGTTGCTGTGTTTAGGGAGTCTAAAAATGGGCTAAGTAGACAATGCTAGGGAATTTACGACTTCCAGTCAACTTTTTGCCTTATTATCAAGTTTTAGATAAATTTTCCTAAAAACCAACTCTCCCTTTTTTTTTTTTTGTTTTGTTTTGTTTTTCTGTTTGTTTTGTACTGGGGATTGAACCCAGAGGCGCTTTACCACTGAGGTATATCCACAGCCCTTTTTATTTTGTTTTTTGATACAGGGTCTCCTTAAACTGCTTAGGGCCTCACTAAATTGCTGAGGCTGGCCTCAAACTTGTGATCCTCCTGCCTCAGCTTCCTGCAGTACCTGATTTCTCCATCTCTTCTTGCTATCATCTTTTTCCCAGTCTTTGAAAACTGTCAATCCATCTTACTGTATCTCTAATTTCTTCCCATGTCTTCTGTCTTACCTCTGTACTCCTGTACATCTCTTGAGTCTGGATGTCTGCACTTTTTTTTTAGAGCATTATATCTATACATGGTAGTTGAGTTCATTTAGACAAAAACCATACATGCAATGAATTTGATTTCAATCACTGTTTCTCCCCACCCCGTTCCCCAGGATGTAAAAGAGGAAGTCCAGTGGTCCATTTTCAGAATATAGTATTTAGCGTTAAATATAAAATTGGGATGTAAGGCAGTTGAAGGGGGGAGTAGAAAGTTACAAGCAGGCAACACCAGAATGAAAAATTCACAGCCCCTTGACAAACAGGAGGTGTGAAGTAAGGGGCCTGCCTGGCCAACAAAAATAAACTTCATAGGTGCCAAAATGCACCCAATCCCAGAAAGGCTTTCGGCCCACTAAAAACAAAGGAAGGTGGGAAGAACGACTAAAGGTATTTTTATTTAAATAATCCAATAGACAACAGTAAAACCTAGGCAAAGTTCTGGAAGATTGTGTACCCCATAGTATTCAGCCACTGAGGAAGTGGGAGAAAGAACTTTGAGCTCTACAGGATAAAATGCCAATTGTAATGGCTCTGGGGTGTGCCTGCTCCCACAGATTCCCGACCTTGCAGAATTGTCGCTTTTTGCTATATCTTGTGTCTCTTAGTCCTTTCTTTGGGCTTGAACAGGTGAGCGAGCGTGTTTCTTACAGTCCGTTATTCTTGTCTCTCCTCTCTCTCTCTCTCTCTCTCTCTCTCTCTCTCTCTCTCTCTCTCGTCCATCCGTTTCTGATCTTTCTGCCTCTAGGCAACAGTTCTGACTCTCTGACCCTCTCTAATTAGGTGAAATCCCTCTTTTAATCACATGGATTTTGCTGTTTACTTACTTTCACTGTCTCTGCTCAAGTCAAGAATCTGTCCGCACAGTCTCTGGGTCTCGCTTCCCTGTCCCTGCATCTGTGTGTCTGTCTCTCCTCTCTCACCCTCGTCAACTCCCGGCCCCAGTCGGCTCCTAAATTCTCATCCCACCAGCTTCAAGGCCTTTCAAAAGCCTGCTGCTCGGGCTGTTGCCCTGGAGATGGCCAGGTGGATCCCTGGTTACTATGGAGACTCTCGGGCCCACCCACCACCCAAGAGTACCAAGGAGCCTCCCGACGCTGCGCACGCGCACATGGGGCCCTGCCAACTACATCTCCCAGAAAACACCGCACTGAGCCTCTCTCCATTCAGAGGTCCGGGGTGGGGGGGCGGCGGGAAGGCCCTCCCGGCAGGGGGTTGCCTTGGAAACGGAGAGGCTGACGGCGTCCTAGTGAGGCCGTGATTGGTGCAGAACCCTGCAAATCCAGGGAGGGCCCATAGAGAATTGACGAAAATGTGGTAGGGGGCATGCGCGATCTGGAAGGCGGTACTGCCGTCCGTTGCCCCCAGAGAAGCTTACGCACGTCAGCGGAGGCCGGACGCCTGGATTCGAGGCGGAGAGTGTGGGAAGAGACGGCCAGGAGTGCGACTTCATTATTGCGGCCACCACTATCCCCAGGGGACGGGAAGAGGGAGTAGAAACGGAGGCGAGGGTGGAGGAAGGGCAAGGAAGGCTCGAGCTGTGCGCGGAGCATTCTGGGAGACGTAGTCTCGCCGGGGACGGGGTGGACGGCAAGTGCGCATGCTCGGGAACGCGGGAGCGGCCCGCTGAGCGCTGAGGTGAGGGGGGGTGGGGTCTCTCAACCTGGAAGGCTCGGGAGGAGACCGGGGCGGTGGCCTGGACTCGGGGGTCCTAGACGTCGACCGAGACCGGGAGAGCGGGGCAGACGTCCGAGCCCTCCCTCGGACGGCCCCTGCGCGGAGGCCTGTCAATCACCGTTCTTTGCGACAGGCTCTGGGAGCCTCGCTCCCGGTTGCCATGGCGGCGCCAGGACCTGCCTGGGCATCCCAGAGAGGATGTTGCCCGCCTCGACTGCTGGGAAATGTATTTCCCAGGGACTTACCGGCTCCCAGAAGACCCAAGTTTCTGTAAGGGTCTCAGGTTTACTTGGAACTCTTAAGAAGCAGAGATTTGGCCCACGGGATCAGGCGATCCTCGAAATCTATGCCACCCACAGGGCATGGCTGGGACAACAACCCATTAATAAACTCAGATTTTCACAGAACCCCAGCTGCAAAAGGAGCATCTCCAGCGGGGAAGCCAGCCCCATTTGCAGATGGGGAAACTGCGGTTCTGAGAGGCACAGGGACCTGAAATGAGCGAAATCAGAATCTTGGTCCATCCTTTCATTCTCCTGGTCCGTGGCCTGGGGGCTTTTGCGGGCCTTCCTAAATTCCCCCTTCACCTCCAACCCCACTTAAATCAGGGTGCTGAGAATGGAGTATTGTGTTTTGTGTTGAGTTGGGCTCTGATGATAGGGCTGAATAGGAGAGGGGTGCTGCCTGGGAGCTGTGACACACAAAAGTGACTGAATAGATTGAGATAGGGGACCAGGTGGAGCAAGGCTGCCGCCTGGGACCAAACAAAAGAGGAATGATGTTGGGGCCCTAGTAAAGGGGCAAATCTGAGAGAGACTGAGTGGGAGAGTAGACAGTAGTGAGGGGCTGGCTTTGGGTCAAGTGGAGTAGGAAGCAGTGGTGTTGATGCCTAGGTGGCAAGTGGCATAGAGGCCATCCACCACGTAGAAGGAGAACTGCAGGCAGGAAAGGGTTGATTGTGTAGAAGGAGGGCAGGGTTATTTGGCACAGTGGTGTATACCTGAAATCCCAGTGACTCCTGAAGCCGAGAGACTGCAAGTGCAAAGACAGTCTTAGCAACTTAGCAAGATCCTTTCTCAAGAAAATTTTAAAAAGGACTTGGGAGGTAGCTCAGTGAGCAATCCTGGGTTCAATTCCCAGTACCAACAACTAAAATAAAATGAAGAAGAAAGGCACGATTTGGGTAGAGAGGAGGTGTTTTCTAGGCTTAAGAAGCAGGCTGTTTTGGGAGGGGGGCTACCAGAGGTTCTGCACAGGCCCAGCAAGAGAGAGGGCCTGGGAAACAAGTGGCTCACCAGGGCTTCCAGCCCTACGGGTCCCTGGAGAGTGATCTGCCTGTTGTGCCTCAGTTTCCTCATCTGCCTTCCAGGTGGAGCAGGTCTGAGGATCAAACAACACAGCATACAGTAGGTACTCAATAAGTGTCCACTGCCACTGTCTGTTATTGCACCAGGCTCATCCTGTTACTTCCCTAGGGACAGATACTGGCCTGGGAGACGTGACCTGGTACTCCTGATGAGACCCACTGTGCTGGGCTCCCCAGGACACACCCCCCGAGAAGACGAGGAGCCTGTCATGGTGAAGCTAGAGGACTCTGAGGAGGAGGGGGAAGCTACCTTGTGGGATCCAGGCCCTGAGGCTGCACACCTACGCTTCCGGTGCTTCCGCTATGAGGAGGCAATGGGTCCAAGAGAAGCCCTGGCCCAGCTCCGCGAGCTGTGTCGCCAGTGGTTACAGCCAGAAGTGCACTCTAAGGAGCAGATGCTGGAGCTCTTGGTGCTGGAACAGTTCCTGGGTGCACTGCCCCCTGAGATCCAGGCCCATGTACAGGAACAGCGGCCAGGTAACCCTGAAGAGGCTGCCACCTTGGTCGACAGGCTTCGCTGGGAACTGGGCGGGCCTCGGAGATGGGTGAGTCAGTGACCTTGAATGGAGGGTCAGGGTTGAAGCACTGTCCAGCTCTGCCTCATCTTAGGGTGCTATGCTTGTCCAGACACACCCTGCCCCTCATGGTCAGGAAGTGGCCACCTGGGGGAGGCTGCTCAGGACAGGGTGTATTCTCACCAGGTCATTCCTGCATCACCTGGAGTCACATGGCTACATGGGCTGCAGGGTAAAGGAAAAGAGAGAGGGTACCAGGCAGCCCTGAGTGTAATAAGAGAGCATCTGTGCATTGTGCTTTTCCTCCCTGCTCAGGTCCTAGGGGAGGTAGACCCTTGGAGGATCTAGTCAGTATATATAGACTAGACAGACCTCTGGGGGTCCTGTAATGGAATGGGTGCCCATGAACCCCAGGTTGTGCCCAATCCCACTCTACTTAATAGGGGCATCTCCCCAGGTCACAGTCCAGGTGCAGGGCCAGGAGGTCCTATCAGAGAAGATGGAGGCCCCCAGTTTCCAGCCTCTACCTCAAACCAAGCCTCAACCTCCAGAACCTGGGCCTGAGATGCCCCCTGGAACAGTGCAGGAATTGCCACTGGGCCTTCAAGTGAAAGAGGAGCCAGAGGTTACCGAGCATCCAGGTGAGGCCAGGCAGGGTGGACAAATGGGGTGGGGGGGTTGTTCCTGGCCTGAGAAGTCTGAAGTCTACTTGGCCAGGTCTCTACTAGATGGAGTGGTTCCCATATGCCACTGGCCCCCACCTCCCACCAAATCAAGTTCCCCTCCAGCATAGCCAGCACTGTGACTATCTAACAAGCCAAGCCTGACTGCCATAGCTCATTTCCACAACTGTCCCCCAGCATGGAGCAGACTTTTGGGGTTTCCCTGTGAGAGAAAATGTGGATTCACTCCCCAGTGAGGTCCACTGAGAGTGGCTGGGGATCAGGCTCATATATAGGTGAGTGTGCTGACATATAATGATGTGCCTCCCCATTCACCTCCCAGGGAGAGTACCTGAGCCAGCCACCTACACTCCACCATTCCTATGTGGACCTTGTACAGCACCCCCTCACACACACACAGATGACCGTCCTACCTTTGTACACAGGGGTACAAAGTCACAGACCTGAGCCCACCTTATCCCACTGCAGCTCCACCACTGGCTTTCTAGGGTGCCCTGTTCACCCTACTCCCAGGCAGGCCCTCAGCTGCCCTGCCCTCCCCCACCCAAGCCTATGTCTAGGCCCTCCTCTGCCTAGAACCTGGCACCTGTCATACCGTCAAGAAGGGCAGCGGGGTGGGAAATCCCTTAGGCTACCTCACCCCACTCTTTCTCCCTAGAGTACCTGGAGTCTGGGCCTCTACCTGCTGCCCAAAAGGCTGTACCCGCCCTCTTACCTAAGGAGGCTCAGGTGAGCCCTGCACAGGACATGACCCAGTCTCTGCCCTAGAAGCCTCAGTGGGTGGGTGTCAGGTCCCTCCCCAAGCCCTGTGGGCACAGATGAACAGTGAACCCTGTGGTTTCAGGCCTATGGGACAGCGCTGGACCATGCCTATCCTCAGAGTGAGACTGGGCCTGAAGGGCCCTCATGGAGGGAGCACCCTGGGGCTCTGTGGCATGATGAAACTGGGGGCATCTTCTCCCCAGGTAAGTGAGACAAGACATGGTGGGGCTGGGTCCTCCTCATGGTCCACCATATCCATCAGCCCCACTCCTTGCTGTACTCAGGCAGCCCTCTCCAAGGTCTCCCTTCCCCATTCTCTAGACTGTCCTCTCCAGTGTTCAACCTCCTATAGCATCTTCTGCCCTCACCAACCCCACAGTTCCTCTAACTTCTGCTCCTTAACACCATGAAACCTGCTGAGAGTGGAGTCTGTGTTCCCACACCCACATCCCCTTCCAGTCCTGGAATCCTAGGTGAGTTGCAGACTCAAAGCTTGCCTCCTGCTGTCCTAGCATCAGGGCGAATAGCAGGCTACAGACAGGGCAGGAGAGACCTTCACACAGTACAGGGACCCAGCAAGGACAGACCAGGAGCCTTCCCAGTCACCCCAAGTCCCCCTCTTCCTTGGTTTGCTTCCTTGTGTGATATTCTTATCTCTTCACTCCAGTCTTCCATCCTTGTGCATTTCCACTCTACTTGTGAAATTTTCTTACTTATATCTTCTATATATTCTGTTACATTTCCATTTCTGTTAGAAAACTTTTAATCTCTAAAAGTGTTTTCATTCTCTGAATTGTTCATTTTTATAGTTGCTTCCTATTGTTCCATCAGTTGTAACATCTTCCTTTATTTCTGTGAGGACAGCAATAACTTCTTTTTTAAAGCTTTCTTTTCTCAATATAGTCTCTTTCCCTTCCAAATTGTTTGTTTACATGTAAGATAGGGAGGACACAGATTTAGCCAGGAGCTCTGAGCAAGAGGGTGAGGGGCTCATGGGTTGTAGCAAACAGGGCTGAGAGGAACATGGGGACTTACTCCATCAAGAAGATCCACCTTTTGGGGGTATGATTAAGTGACTGGAGTATGAGTAGATGCATTAAGAAATCCACAGGACAGTCTGGTTGGGCTACTCCCTGCTATGAGCATCCTTAGTTTCTTCCCGAGTCCCCATTCAGCCTCCTGCCTACATGCTTGTGGAGAAGATGATGTCCTAGCACTTAATCCTTCTGCCTTTCTCAGTGTGGTCCTCCCACTTTCCAGTAAACAGTCACAGCAGTGCATACTGTTGGCCAGAATCTGTGCAGACAGTCCGTAGCAGCAACATGATTGCCCCACTCATTCACCTATAGCCATAAGTACCTGGTATCTCCAACTCCAGAGCTTTTAGAAGCTTCTTTGGAGTAAACCAGTGTGGTTTTTTCCAACATCTCATCTTTCTCACTGCTAGTTTAGTGTTTACCTTTTCCAGTCTGCAGCAGTTACCATTTTCCCATTTTTCCAGAGCAGAAAATGTCAAATGTTTGTTTACTTCTCTCTTGTCTTTAAAAAAAATAAGGTTGGGGTTGTGGCTCAGTGGTAGAGCACTCGCCTCGCATGTGTGAGACCTGGGTTCAATCCTCAGCACCACATAAAAGTAAATCAGTGAAATAAAGGTATTGTGTCCAACTACAACTCAAAAATAAACATTTTTTAAAAAATAAATAAAATAAAATAAAGCTAAAATAGGCAGGCACAGTGGTGGCATGTGCTTGTAATCCTAGCAACTCGGAAGCTAAGACAGGAGGACTACAAGTTTGAGGACAGCCTTGGCAACTTAAAATTGCCTTCTCAAAATTTTTTTAAAAGCTCAAAGGCTGAGGCAGGAGGATCACAAGTTCAAAGCCAGCCTTAGCAATTTAGCGAAGCACTTAACAACTTAGAGAGACCCTGTCTCTAAATAAAATATTTAAAAAAGGGCTGGGGAGGGGCTGGGGATGTGGCTCAAGCGGTAGCGCGCTCGCCTGGCATGCGTGCGGCCCAGGTTCGATCCTCAGCACCACATACAAACAAAGATGTTGTGTCTGCCGATAACTAAAAAAAAATAAATATTAAAATTCTCTCTCTCTCTAAAAAAAAAAAAAAAAAAGGCTGTCTTTAAAAAAAAAAAAAAAAAAAAGGGCTGGGGAATGTGGCTTAGGGGTTAAATGCCCTGGGTTCAATCCCCAGTACCAAATTGGGATAAATAAAGCTAAAACAAAAAGAACTTAAGTTGCCAAGACTTGCGATCTTCCTGCCTCAGCCTCCCTAGTGTCTGGAATTAGAGGCACGTACCACTGTGCCCAGCTTCTGCTGTTATTTTTTTTATCAGCTAGGATTCTAGCTGGGCATGGTGGTGCATGCCTATCATCCCAATGATTACAGGCAGGAGGATCAAAATTTCAAGGCCATCCTCAGCAACTTGGCAAGGCCCTTAGCAATTTAGTGGGACCCTGTGTCAAAATTTTAAAAAATTTAAAAGTCTAGGGATGTGGCTCAGAGGTTAAGCACCCCTGGGTTCAATCCCCAGAATCAGAAAATAAATCAATAAATAAGGATTCTAACTCACTCTTTATTTATAATGTCCTTGTGTCATGGATGCTGATGCCTCCTTTTGAGGATTTGGAAATACTCATAGTATCCTTTGCAGGCAGGCCAGTTAGCTATATCTTCAGGTGTGAAGTCTCCCACTGGCTGGGTTATTGACAGCCTGCCCTCTGAAGTTCTGGGAGCTTCTTGTTTCCCCTACTGTAAGCCTCATCGTAGGTGTGGGGCTGCTAAAGGGCCCATCATAACCTTGAAGTAGAAGGATCATCTGGGACCTGGACCATTCAGTACAGACACCTCTGCCTGCAACCCAGCCAGAAGCAAGCAGCTCATTCTTGGCCAGGTTGGTGAGTAGACAGCTAATCCAACCCATTTCCACAACCCCAGCTGCCTGAGGAAGCCTGGCTCTTGCCCATGCTAAGCATGAACTCTACCACTGATTTATCCCCTTAGCCAGTCTTCTTTTTAATGTTATCGTCATGAGAATACTTTGAATAGATAATGCAGTCACGTATTAGAAAATTCAAAAGGTCCAAAAGAACATTCAGAAGACTGCTTCCCAACAGCCAACATTACCAGTTTCTTCCAGAAAGTTTCTGTATGTGTAGGATACATATATTGTCATATGCCACATAGTGATCTTGGGCAACCTGGTCCACAAATCCAGTGGTGGTCTTATAAGGCTATATTGCTTACTGGAGTTAGGAAAGTAGCTCAGTGGTAGAGCATGTGCTTAGCATGCATGATGCCCTCAATTCAACCCCCAAAATGCAAGCACACACACACAGAAAAAAAAAATATATTATATTCCTACTGACATCATAGCCATCACTCTGATATTTACACAACAAAACCACGCAATACTTCTCAGAACCATTCTGAGAAACATAGTTAAGCAACACATGACTATACAGACATATGTTCATTTTCCTTCTTTAAAACACATGTGGGAAAAAGAAAAAAATTTAAAAACATATGGCCAGTTGTGGTGGAACACACCTATAATCTCACTGACTTGGGAGACTAGAGGATTGCAAGTTCAAGAACAACCTGGGCAATTTAGTGAAACCCTGTCTCGAAAAGGTCTGGGGATGGCCAAGCACAGTGTCACATGTCTGTAATCCCAGCAGCTCGAGAGGCTGAGGCAGGAGGATCACAAGTTCAAAGTCAGCCTCTGCAAAAGTGAGGCACTAAGCAACTCAGTGAGACCTTGTCTCTAAATAAAATATAAAATAAGGCTCGGGGGATGTGGCTCAATGGTCAAATGCCCCTGAGTTCAATCCCTGGTACCAAAAAAAAAAAGGAAGGGGGGGGGGGCTGGGGATGTAGCTCAATGTTAAAGTGTCCCAGGATTCAATCCCTAGTACAAAAGAAAAAAGAAAGGGAAAGGGAAGAGAGAAAAGAAAAAACTCACATATGGCTTATTTCCACCTGTTCCACACCTGGCATTGCCCACTTCAACAAACAGCAGGGGGCACCCTAGGACTTTGAATGCACATAGAAGTATGCGCTATGGCTTACTGTGGACACACCATCCAGGTTCTTACTGGCATTCCTTTGGGCTGCTTTTCATTAACTCTGAAAAACCTTAGGCTGGAGAGACTAGCCACTTTTAACACAGATAGGAATGCAACTGTTGGAGAAATGTCGGAAAATAGAATTACTAGGGCAAAAGGTGGTACATTTACTGTTTTGAGGCCGTTTTTTAGTGGCTTCCCGTTTATGCTCACCAGTCATGCATGTGAACACTTGAGCCCCTGCATTGAGAATGTGGGAATGGTGAATGAGTTCAGCCCTACTGTGCATTTTTCTTAGAGGATACTTGTTTTATGGGGTTTCTTCACATCCTTTGACCATGTGTCAAGTCATTAGTCTTTTTTGTTGATTTATTGAAGCTCTTTACCGAAGAAATTAATCAGCCCTTTGCCTCTGGAGAGTTTTTCAGTTTCCCATTATTTTGACTCCGTATTGTTTTTTGTTAATTTCCTTTGATACTTCTAATACAACTGATGTTTATTTGAGGGCTTATTGATTTTCCATCACACACTATAATGCTCACCACTCTCAGTCTTCTGTATTTAACCTCCAGGATTCCCTTCTTTCCAGCTCATGCTTCTCAGTTGCCTTTGCTGACATCTCCTTCCCCATTCAGTGTCTTATCTCTGGATTGTTCACAGCCTGGCTGGGGTCTACTTCTCTCCTCCACAAGACAGGCCTCTGTTAATCAAATGCAGGCACAGGGCTCTGTATGACCTGTGTATACACCAGGCTCATGTTTCACCAAAGCCTGCATGAAGTCTATTCCTCCTGTGTGCCACAGGCAACTCAAGTCAGACACATCCAATTCCAGGACCAAAGTCTAGGAGCTTGTCTTCCTGCACCACCATCCCCCATCCTTTCCTGTGGGCGCTGCCTCCAGCCTTCCTCAGACCCACCCAATCTCTGCATGGCAGAGCCCATTACTGTCTACCCAGACAGTGCAAAGGCTGCCTGCCCCACTGTTGCCCTAGAGCCTTTCCAGAACCAGGCTGTTTTTTTCCTGCTTAAGTCAAGCCACGAAAGCCTTTTCACATAGCCCAGTCTCTTCTCATTCTGGGCTCTGTCCCATTGTCACCTAGGGGAAACCTACACGGATAGAATCCCTGCTCCCGCCTTGCCACCTATCTGCTCCTTTGGTCTGTTTCAAGCCTCTTCTAATTCATACTGTATGCCCAGGGCTGAAGTGGGTCTGGGCACAGAGGGCACTCTCATGAATGAGTGGGTCCCTCTTGTGCAGGGTTTGCGCTCCAGATGGACAGCGTCTCCACAGAGCCAGGTACTGTGAGCAACCACCTCCGTGTCCCCTGGGATATGGGCGCGGCCAGTCTCTCCAGCCGAATAGACTCTCCCTCCCACGAAGGTGGCTTTGTGCATGCAGTTGTGCTCCCCAGTGACCCAGGAAGTGAGCTGGACCCCACTATAGAGGCTGTCCGGCCCGGCATGGGACCTGCACTAGTTGCTGCCCGCTGGCGCACCCCAAGGGGCCGCAGCCGGGGACGAGGCCGCCCCAGCACTGGGGCTGGGGCAGCGCGGGGCGGCCGTTGCGACGTGTGCGGCAAGGTATTCAGCCAGCGCAGCAACCTACTGAGGCACCAGAAGATCCACACAGGCGAGCGACCGTTTGTGTGTGGCGAGTGTGGCAGAAGCTTCAGTCGCAGTTCGCACCTGCTCCGCCACCAACTCACGCACACCGAGGAGCGGCCATTCGTGTGCTGCGACTGTGGCCAGGGCTTCGTGCGCAGCGCGCGGCTGGAGGAGCACCGGCGAGTGCACACTGGGGAGCAGCCCTTTCGCTGTGCCGAGTGCGGCCAGAGCTTCCGGCAGCGCTCCAACCTGCTGCAGCACCAGCGCATCCATGGTGACCCCCCAGGCCCAGGCTCTGCACCCCCCGCCCCTCCTGGCGCACCAGAGCCACCGGGTCCTTTTCCGTGCAGTGAATGTTGTGAGAGTTTCACGCGGCGCGCGGTGCTACTAGAGCACCAGGCAGTGCACACAGGTGATAAGTCCTTCGGCTGCGTAGAGTGCGGCGAGCGCTTTGGCCGCCGCTCGGTGCTGCTGCAGCACCGGCGCGTGCACAGCGGAGAGCGACCCTTTGCCTGCACTGAGTGTGGCCAGAGCTTCCGACAGCGCTCCAACCTCACGCAGCATCGGCGCATCCACACGGGAGAGCGGCCCTTCGCCTGCGCAGAGTGCGGCAAGACTTTCCGCCAGAGGCCCACGCTCACACAGCACTTGCGCGTGCACACAGGTGAGAAGCCCTTTGGCTGTCCGGAGTGTGGCCAGCGCTTCAGCCAGCGTCTAAAGCTCACACGCCACCAGAGGACACACACTGGCGAGAAACCCTACCACTGCGGCGAGTGCGGCCTGGGTTTCACGCAAGTCTCACGGCTCACTGAGCACCAGCGCATCCACACGGGCGAGCGGCCCTTCGCCTGCCCCGAGTGTGGCCAGAGCTTCCGGCAGCACGCCAACCTCACCCAGCACCGGCGCATCCACACCGGGGAGCGACCCTATGCGTGCCCCGAGTGTGGCAAGGCCTTCCGCCAGCGGCCCACACTCACACAGCACCTTCGCACCCACCGGCGAGAGAAGCCCTTTGCTTGCCAGGACTGCGGCCGTCGCTTCCACCAAAGCACCAAGCTCATCCAGCACCAGCGTGTCCACAGCGCTGAGTAGCTCCAGCCATGCACTCACTGCTTAGTAAAACACCTACCTCACAGTGTTGTTGAGGCTGGCGGTGGCATAGGAGCAAGAAGGCCCCACCAGGGCCTGGCCCCCAGTAGGTGCTTAAGAAAAAGTGGACTGCCAAGCATGATGGTGCACACCTATAATCTAGCTACTTGGGAGACGGAGGCATTAGGATCAAGTTCAGGGCTTGCCTGGGCAGGACCCTGTCTCAAAAAGGGCTATGATGTAGTTCAATAGTAAAGAGCCCCTGAGTTTAATCCCCAGTAACAAATAAGTAAATAATAAACAGTAGACAGCTATTGGGTCTGCCCACTGAGTGCCTCTGCGCCTGCTCATTCTCCTCTGCCCACCTCCACTCCTAGGCTGGTACACTCCCTGTGCCTCTGCATGCCCCTGTGAAGGCCCTGCCACCCCTAGCCCTAAGGTGGCTCGGAACACACCCATCCCCTCTGTGGGACAGCCCTTTTATATGCCTCTGGCTACACAGAAGAAACACCCAGCAGGTCGGGCAGAGTGGTCACGGGCAGAAGTTCTTAGTCTTCCAGACCCACAGAGGAGAAAATGTTCTCTGTATCTGCCACACAGTGCCTGACCATCAATCAGGGTCTAGTCCAGAAAGAGTCCCAGCAGATATTTTAACAGAGATGCTAATTGGTATGAAGTGATTAGTGATTATTGCAAAAGCTAGTCAAGCTCAAGGAGAGACCGTCCTTGTGGGGCTTCTCAGACTCCCTTATAGTAGAGTCCCAGCACTTCTGACAGCTATAAGCCCAAGATTCATCCCACTTGAGCCCACCAGGATCCCTCCCGTGTTGGTGGGTGGTACTGAGCCTGGATTGTGATGCCTGATACCTGTACACCCAAGATCATCAGATGCAGCAAAACTGGCCACTGGCAGGCCACATACTGCCTGAAGACACATTTGTGAGACTCCTTTATACTTGGGAAGCCCTTTCCTAAGTTTGAAAGCTGGAAAGTTTTACCCTGAAATTCACATATTTCAAGACTTCCCTATTCCCATGTGTTTACAACCATAGTACTTAGGGAAGGATTCTATAGAAGGGACTCCAACTAGTTTGGAAAGCACAGACTACAGGCCCAGGTCCAGTTCCTCCATCCTCTGGTCATAATGTTCCCATCATTCCAGCCACAGGAGTAGTTCCTCCCACTCTGGCCCTGTGCACAGCCTGACAAGACTCCCCAGCACTGAGAAGCCCCCATCAGGAATGCACTCAGTGGGGATTGGGGATGTAGCCCAGTGGTAGACCACTTACTAGCATGCACAAAGCCTTGGATTCAACCCAAAGAAAGAAAAGGAGGGAGGGGAAGAAAAATAAAACAATGCATTCAGTGACAAGTAACAGAAAATGTAGCTGACAGCAGCTTGCATGTGCAGGTGCACATTCAGAACCCTGCAGACTTCAGGCCTGATGTTTCCAGGACACTGTGCCACTGGCTCTGTTAACCTAGCCATCTTCCGCTTCCACATATTGACCAAGCCCTTGACAGAGCCCCTCCTCCCTAACCCCACTGGTGGGTGCCTTGGGTTCAGGTAACACGGATTAAAGGATTCAGGTGCAGGGGGTAGGGTTGTGGCTCAGGAAGAGTGCTTGCCTAGCATGCGTGAGGCACTGAGTTCAATCCTCAGCATCACATAATAAAATAAAGGTATTGGATCCACCTACAATTAACAAATAAATGTTTTTTTAAAAAAGGGTTCTTGGGCTGGGGATGTGGCTCGCCTGACATGCACTGGACTCTGGGTTCGATCCTCAGCACCACATAAAAATAAAGATGTTGTGTCCACCGAGAACTAAAAAATAAATATTGAAAAATTCTCTCTAAAAAAAAAGGGGGGGGGGTTCTGGTGCAGCATGATCCAGTTTGAGCCCTAAGTCCCAGTCAGGGCATGAGTCAGCCTGGCCTTTACCTAGCATTTCCAGGAACAGCAACTTGGGCCTGTGTGTCCAAGCTTTTACAGGGGCATAGCTGTACCTTTCCCTTCCACTTGAAGTCATTTCAACCTTCAAAACTGGGGCCCTGGCCTATAAGCATATAAGCCAACCTGAGCCAGAGGTCACTCCTGTGACACAAGAGGGGTCATCCATCCCTATGATGACATTCACTATCCCCTCTGACCCCCAGACACTGGGCAGAATCCAAATCAGAAGAGTGGTCACTGGACCCTCAGCAGGCAAGTGTTACCATACGGTCAGCAGGGACAAGGGCCTGAACAGAACAGCTCAGCCCCACACAGTCATAGCCATAAAAGAAATCTGGCAAAGAAGTCCAGAAAGCCCTAGCAAGCAGGAACAGCGATAAAATGCCTGGCCTGCCTGTCCCTGAGCCAGTGGCTGGCCATACTGCTCACTCCCAAGCCCAGCACTCTCCTCTCAATGCTGATTCATGCAGTTATTCTCACCCCAGCTCTTCTATACACCTCCTTCTACACTTCTCAGCGTTGCTGATTATAGCTTCATCTCTGACCTAGCAACCTACAGCCTCCCTTCCCTGCCTACTCCTGCCCCTTCTTCTCCAAAACAAACCTGTCTTCCAACCTCCCAGAAGCTACAGTAAACACCCACAGTTGCACACACAGCCCAGCTCCTGACTTCAGTTCAACCATCCCCTTCTCCCTAGTCTGCACTCCAGGACCCAATTCTTCCCATGTTGTTGCATGACTGATGGTCCTTCACTGGATGGTGACATGTGAGGTCACAGACCATACAAGTCCAGCTTTGGCTAATTCAGCATCAACTCTCTGGGGGACAGATACCCCCTTCCTAGGTGGATCATCAGTAGATGGGCTTCAGCAACTAACTGGAGGATGGACACATGAACCAGGCTGGCCAGTAAGAACCACCCAGAGACTGTACTTAAACAGTCATCAACTCTCTTGAGGAAATGATCTCTATGAAAACAATCAGCCACAGAGCGGTGTGGCTAAGAATGGTGAGTATGAAAGAAGAGCAGGAGAGAAGGGGGGGGGGGGGGAAGGATAGGGGAGGAAGAGGGGAGGCGTGGGAAAAGGATAGGGAGAGTCTGGAGGGGCCTTGTGCGTCCCAGAACTAGCCACGAGAAGCCTGAGGAAACTGAGATGGACAATGGAAGTCCTGCTGGCACCACACCCAAGCTGTCTGAGAGTCCATCCTTGCCCCCCAAATCCTTTCCAAGACTCAGCTCTCAAGGGAAAGGCAAAAGAGGATGCCGGGGTTTTATGACCGGGTCAACTAGTAGGCTGGAGGAGCGAATCCGCCGAGGTGAGGGCTGCGGGCCAGTCCGGCAGGCTAGTGCTGCTGCCCTTTGGCAGAGGGCCAAGAAGTACACTAGCCTGACATCCCCCACGCGGCGCCGCCCCCGGTTTCCTTGGTGACGGCCGGAAGTCCCTGACTGGGCGCACCGTTTCCTCCCGCCCTCCTGGCGGGCTGAGCTGTGATTGGGTCAGAGATAACCACGCCTGCGGAACCCCGAAAGCGGTGGGGAGGTACCAAGGAGGCGGTGCCCTTTGGCGGGTCCCGGCGAGCGAAGAGTGCCCCATCCCCCAAGGGCCACTCTGGCCTGTAAACCTACACAGTAACCACCACTTTGTGGCACAATGTTTATCTTTAAGAGACAGGGTGTTGCTTTGTCGCCCGTAACTCCTGGGCTCAAGAGATCCTCCTGCTTCAGCCTCCGAACAATACGAATTTTCTGTTAATTTACCTCAATCGAATTTCCATGAGGAGACCTTTGGATTTGCCTTAGGACACTGAGGGGGCTCGACCCTGCAACCTCTGAGCAACAATCCTGTCCTCGCCCATGTTCTACCTTTGTCTGTGACCTTTTGGGGGCAAGGATCTAATCTGACCCACCACAATTGCGCTCCACTTGAATGCAACATTAAATGAACTCACGAAGAGCCAGGGGAAAGCACCTGCCCCACTCAAAGTTGGCTACAAGCATCACTTCCTGTACCGCCCGGCGAGGGTCCCCGGAAGTGAGCCCGGGACCGCTTAATCGTCACCTGCACAAACGGAAATACCCGAGCCCAGCCGGAAAAGCCCGAACCCCAAACCCCATCGCTGAGCAACGAGGGCTGCGGAGCTGCGCAGGCGCACAGCGCAGGCCCGGCAAGAAGAGCCGAAGCGGGCAGGCGGCGGAAACATCCGAAGCCGTGAGGCGCCAGAGGCCGTTGCCAATCTCTGCGCCAAAGCCTCTGCTACCGCGGAAGCCGAGCCTCCACCGGTACACGGCTACCACCACCGTGGCTGCCGCTTTCTCGTTCCACCCCGAGCCTCAACCCTTTGCAGAGGGAGCGAGTGAGCTCTGACCCGCGGGGACCAGGAAGCCCGGCAGCTGCAGCCTTAGCTGGGCCTCGGAAGACCTGAGCGGGCGAGGGGGAGGAGGGAGCGGCCGGGAGAAGGTGGGGCGGGGCCGATCGGGCCCGAGAATAGCCGAATCTGCCCGAACGCCGCCGAGCGAGACCGAGGCGCTGGGCCAGGCCAGAGCCGGACTACGGGAGCCGAGGCGGGCCGCGCGGTGGGCGCGGAGCAGCGCGGCAGGCCGGGCGGGCGGCGGCAGCAGCGGAGGAGGCCGCGGCAGCGGGTCCAAGGAGCGGAAGAGGCGCGGACGGCAGCGGGGGGCCGGGTGGCCGGGGTCCCGGGCCCCGCAGCGGCGGCGGCGGCGGCGGCGGCAGGATGATCAAGCTGTTCTCGCTGAAGCAGCAGAAGAAGGAGGAGGAGTCGGCCGGCGGCACCAAGGGCAGCAGCAAGAAGGCGTCTGCGGCGCAGCTGCGAATCCAGAAGGGTATTGGTCGGGGGATGGGGGTTGGGGCCGGGGGGGAGGGGGTCGGAGGACAGGGCCCAGGGGAGGGCAATGAGGGAGTCAGGAATGGGGAAATGTGGTCACCGAGGGTCAGGGATGGTGGGCCGCGGATGTGGCGTGTCGGAGGTCAGAACTTGAGGACTGTAATGCCGAAAGCGGGGTTAGGGTAAGGCGGCCACTAGGGAGGGTCACATAAGAGACCCGGTAGCGGGGGCTTGGGGTATTCTGAAGGCCTGACGTCTGGTATTAGGGCCCTTGAATCTGAGTATAAGGTGGGGGTGCGGGGGCTCGAGAGTCTGGAGGTCAGACCAGAACTTGGCTTTGGGGTGAAGGTCCAGAGGGATAGCGAGCACCGAGAACTGGGGAAATGAGTAAGAGACAGTTTAGTATATGAAGCTGGAATCGCTGGGAATCTGAGTCAGAAAAGGGCCCCAGACTCATGGGTTTGGGGGTTAGACAGCAGTTTGGAGTTTGTGGAGCTGGAAGGGATAGTGGGTGTCAGAGGCTGAAGAGGGGAAATTTAGGCTATCATGCTGGGAATCTCAAGAGTCACAAGGAGTGGGAAGGTGAGCACTTGAAAGTGTGAGGGTCAGACGGGAACCTGGGTTTGAGATGAGGAGGAGGAGTGTTTTGATACAGAGGGGACGATTTAGGGTATGGTGAGTCAAGGTCGTTGAGTTTGGATGGATGAATAAACACTGTGAAGAGTGGAAGTCATGACTGGGGAGCCTGGGGTTAGGATGTTCAGAGGCTGTTAGATGCCAGGACTTTTAGAATGGGGGCCACATGAGAGTGGAGTCACTTGGGGAACTGAGTTTGGGGGTATTTAGGGCTGTGAATTTAGTAGAATTAGTGTTCACCTTGGCCCAGGTGGTGGGACAATTAAAGATGCATGTTTTCCGTGTGCTGTGTATCCAGAAGAGCCCACCTAGAGACTGGAACAGAGAAAGCAGAGAATACAGAATGGGTTAGAGGTGAGGTGTGGAAACATAGCGCAAGACAGAGTCCATAGAGTCTGTGATGAATCCATCAGGACTTTCTGACACCTGTGCAGAGCTCCCTCCTTTCTCTCATGAGCCTCTTCCTCCCTCTCTGGCCTCTTTCTCTGCTGCCCAAATGCAGACATAAACGAGCTGAACCTGCCCAAAACCTGTGACATCAGCTTCTCAGACCCGGACGACCTCCTCAACTTCAAGCTGGTTATCTGTCCTGATGAGGTAAGTGTGGCCCAACTTGTACTGGCCAGACTCCCAAGAACAGAGCAAGAGAAGGGATACTTTGGCTCTGCAGGATGGGGCCCTACCACCTTCTCTCTTCCCTCCCAGGGCTTCTACAAGAGTGGGAAGTTTGTGTTCAGTTTTAAGGTGAGTCCCAAATGGGCAGAGGTAGCTCCATGGACTGAGGAGGCAGCATCTGAGGCCCTGTCAGGCACCTACTCACCTCCTTTTTCTTTTCCTGGAGCCAGGTGGGCCAGGGTTACCCACATGATCCCCCCAAGGTGAAGTGTGAGACAATGGTTTATCACCCCAATATTGACCTCGAGGGCAACGTCTGCCTCAACATCCTCAGGTAAGGGCACTGGCCCTCCACTTCCTTCCCCAGCCCTACCTGCCAGTCCCCCTTATAGCTAACTGCATCACTCTCCATCCCTTCTCTCCCCCTTATGGCCTGCATCCCTCTGTCCCGTTATCTCCAAGTCATCCTCCTAATGGCCCAACCCGACTTTTTTCCATGGCCTGTCCTGCTCCCTGCCTCCGTAGTTTCTCAAATCCTCACTCCTGCATGCCCTGACCCTGACCTATTCAGTACCACCAGAGCCTGTAGTGGCCTCCCACTCACCAGCCTGACCCTGATGCTCTCTGCCCACAGAGAGGACTGGAAGCCAGTCCTTACGATAAACTCCATAATTTATGGCCTGCAGTATCTCTTCTTGGTGAGTAGGAGTGGGCATTTGGGACTTGGGGAGGTTGGCTTTCTTCCTCTCTGGCCTGTTGACCCCCACTTGTACTGGTCACAGGAGCCCAACCCTGAAGACCCACTGAACAAGGAGGCTGCGGAAGTCCTGCAGAACAACCGGCGGCTGTTTGAACAGAATGTGCAGCGCTCCATGAGAGGTGGCTACATCGGCTCCACCTATTTCGAGCGCTGCCTGAAATAGGGTTGGCATATACCTGCCCCCGCCAGGGCCACCAGCCCAGGCATTCCCTGCAAATATTTATTGGGGAGCCACGGGGTGGGGGGGTGGGGGCAACCGGTGGGGGGAATCCTCTGCCTTGGCCTTGCCTCCCCTCTCTGCTACCTGCCCCTAGTTATTTTTTTTTTTAACCATCACGTGATTATGGTCGGCGCTGTCTCCCCCCCCCGACCTGCTCAGCGATGGGAAATGAATTGGCTTGTCTAGCCCCCCGCTGGGTGCTGTCCAGCCCCCCACTCTGGGCTGTGGGGTGGGTGGGCAAGGGGCCTGGGTAACTGGGCCCAGGCAACCCACCTCTCCACCACCGGAGGTCCCACCAGGCTATTAAAGGGGAATGTTACTGCATGGCCTCTGCCTCTTCCTTCTGTGGGATGGGAGGGTCAGGTAAGGTCCTTCAGGGGTCTGAAGGGGGTGAGGGCAGTGGAAAGTGGATGGTCGCAGGTGGGGTGGCATTTGGTCACCCTACAAAGACTGGCTGGTACCTGGGATGGCCTTGGGTTGGGTGGGATGACGCTTGCTCTGGGGTGAGGAGGGCAGGCCTCTAATCTGTGGCTTCCTGGCACCTGTCAGCGCGTAGCATCTCCAGCTTTGCCCCTTTTTGCCATGTGCGGGACACGGAGGGGGCTCCTGTTTGGCGCTGTCCGAGGCCTCAGGCAGAAGTCAGGGTTGCACGGATGAACTGTGCCCTAGACGGTGGCACGGGGGCCCTCCAGAATGTCTAGACTGAAGGCACCCAGAGATGCACTTCTCGGCTGCGGACGCGACCCGCGCCCTAGCTCGGTTCACTAGGGCGGGACTCCGACCCAGGGAACGCCCTCGGACCTTTGGCAAAGACACGGGAACTGGTGCGCAGGCGCTTGGGCGCAGGCCTATCTTAGTGCGCGTGCGCGCCAGCTACTTCCCAGCATTCCGGGTGTGGGTGGGGCCTGTGACGTCAAGTCGTTTAATCCGGAAACGGCGGCGGCGGAGACGACAGAACCGAGAGGCCTTCGTTAGTGGGTACGCCAGGGATCTAAGCAAGTGGCGCGTGACCCGGAAGCGGAAGCAACTCCCTGTGCCTGCTCCGGTGAGTGGCTCCTGCTGGGCCTCAGGTCCCGGGTGGGTGGCGGTGTACCAAGGTTTCTCTAGGCTTAGGTATCCAGGGTCAGGCTCCTCCCTGGGACCCAGTCCTCATCATCTGGGCCCCCCACACACACACCGCCTTGCCCTCGTTGCGACGGGGCCCCCGACGTTCCAGACCCAGCCCTCTGTGTACAGGGTGCCAGTGCCTCCGACTGCCCTCCGGAGTTTCCTCAGCAGTCGGGGACCCCAATCCTGGTGCCATTGTCCACCCTCAGAGCCCCCAGATCCACCTTGTTCGGGGCTTTCACCCATCCTGCCCTCTTTTTGTGCTCAGGGTCTGTCTTATCCCGGCATACCCATTCACCCATTTCCAGTCTCAGTCCGTGGAAAACCCCAGGGCCACACCCCTGGGTCTGAAAGGGGAGCCCAAACTTCCACACCCTGAAATTGCTGGGAAAGGTGAAGGGGCTTGGGCTGGCATAATGGAGAATTTCTTTTTTGACTGTCCCTGAGGGGCATTCTAAAGCTCGTATCTCTGAGGCTTTGTTCACACCTCCTGTCCTCACTCCAGTCTCCCTATGTGAGCCTGTTCTGCCTCTTGCCCTCCTTCTGGGCACAACACCCTATAGCTGCCCCTCACATCTGTCCCAGGCCTGCCAGCGGGCTCCAGCCACCATGGACCTGTTGTTTGGGCGCCGGAAGACACCAGAGGAGCTACTGCGGCAGAACCAGCGGGCCCTGAACCGCGCCATGCGGGAGCTGGACCGGGAGAGGCAGAAACTAGAGACCCAGGAGAAGAAAATCATTGCGGATATCAAAAAGATGGCCAAGCAGGGCCAGATGGTAAGTGCCAATGATCAGGGGCAAAGTGCCAGCTCTCAACCAGATACTGTTGTGATGACAGTGGACGAGACAGGACACCAGAAAACAAGTCCTTTGAGGAATGCTGAGTAAAGGATGAAGAGGGCTCCCTTAGTTTGGGGATCTGGAAGTCTTATCTATGGAAGTGCTGTCAGCCAAAGTGTGAACAATCTTCAGATCTGGCAAGGGAGTGCATCCAGCAGACATTGGAGAGCCTTAGCAAACTGGGGGCCAGACTGCTCAGAATTAGCTCTATGAAGGGTTGGAGCACAAGAGTAATGTTTGGCCAAAAGAAAGGAAGTCAACTAGTAGGGAGAGCACTAAGAAGGGAGCAGAGCCTTTAAGGGGTGACTTTCTGAGCAGCTGTAAAGCGCCAGGAAGATGTTTAGTCTTAGTTTTGTAGTACTTGGGAATCAAACTTAGAGGTGTTTTGAGACCGGTTCTTGCTAACTTGCTGAGGCTAGCCTCAAAACTTGGGATCTTTCAGCCTTGACCTTCCAAGTCAATGGGATTACAGATGTGCACCACTGTGTTTGGCTTGGTATATTTCAGGACACAGCCTTCGCTGTAGGCTTTAAGTGAAAGAGGCAAAAGAGTTTTTGATGTTTTGTTGTGCACTGGGAATTAAACCCAGGGTCACTTTGATCACTGAGCTACTACATCCCCAGTCCTTTGAGACAGGGTCTTGTTGAATTGCTGCAGTTGGCCTCAAACTTGCAATCCTACTGCCTCAGCCTCCTTAGTGCTGGGATTACAGTTGTGCACCACTACAATTGGCTATGCAGGTTATTTTTGCCCCTCACAGAGGCAAGCACTCTGTGAGGGCTCCATCCCCCGCAATGAGGCAGATTCTTTGTGTAGAGTGAATTAAAGGAAGTCTGGGCCTGCCTTCCAACATCTAGGGATCAGGAAGACCTTACATGATAAAAGGGTAAGCTGGGCATGGTAGTGCATGCCTATAATCCCCAGCAGCTCAAGAGGCTGAGGCAAGTGGATCATGAGTTCAAAGCCAGCCTCAGCAAAAGTGAGCACTACGCAATTCAGACCCTATCTCTAAATAAAATGCAAAAAAGGACTAGAGATGTGGCTCCATACCCGAGTGCCCCCCTCCCAGTTCAATCCCAGTTCAATCTACCCCCTGCTTTAAGAAAAAAAAAAAAGCTTCCAAAAAAAAAAAAATTAAAGAGGGCTAGGGATGTACCTCAGTGACAAAGGCCCCCAGGTTTAAATCCCTGGTTAAAAAAGTGACCCTTCGGGGCCGGGGAAGTGGCTCAAGCGGTAGCGCACTCGCCTGCCATGCATGCAGCCCAGGTTCTATCCTCAGCACCACATACAAAGATGTTGTCCGCCGAAAACTAAAAAATAAATATTAAAAATTCTCTAAAAAAAAGAAAATCTCACAATGATAAATTAAAATCTTTTTTTAAAAAAATGACCCTTCTATTAGCCAGATAAAGATCTTTGGCGACCCCAATATTAAAACATAATTTCATGACCTCATCTTTGATACTTCCCTATTCCGCAGGATGCTGTGCGCATCATGGCAAAAGACTTGGTGCGTACCAGGCGCTATGTACGCAAGTTTGTGTTGATGCGCGCCAATATCCAGGCTGTGTCCCTCAAGATACAGACACTGAAGTCCAACAACTCAATGGCACAAGCCATGAAGGGTGTCACCAAGGCCATGGGCACCATGAACAGACAGGTATTTCTTTCCCAATTTCTCTTTCCACCCCACCCTACCCCCACTGACCCTACTGACCCAAGTCACCCTACCTACTTCCAGCTGAAATTGCCCCAGATCCAGAAGATCATGATGGAATTTGAGCGGCAGGCAGAGATCATGGACATGAAGGAGGAGATGATGAATGATGCCATTGATGATGCCATGGGGGACGAGGAGGATGAAGAGGAGAGGTGTGGGGAACTGGGTGGTTAAGGTGGGGATGTTTTCCTGATCCTCAACCTGTGCATAGTTCTGAACAAGTTCCTCCTCTTCCCTAGTGATGCTGTTGTGTCCCAGGTCCTGGATGAGCTGGGACTAAGCCTGACAGATGAACTGTCAAGTGAGTGCTGCAAACTCTCAAGATTTCCCACCCACAGCCCTTGGCCATTCTCCCTACTCTAACCCTAACTTTTCCCCTTTTCAGATCTCCCCTCGACTGGAGGCTCACTGAGCGTGGCTGCTGGTGGGAAGAAGGCAGAGGCCACAGCTTCAGCCCTGGCTGATGCAGACGCAGATCTGGAAGAGAGACTCAAGAACCTAAGAAGAGACTGATGACCCCACTGCCAAGGGGGATGTCCGGAACAGACACCCAGGGTCTTTACCATGCCCTCTGTAATAAAATTGGACACTTAATCCCAAACCTGTGTGAGTAGCCTCACATGGGGTTAGGCCTTATGTCCTTGGGACCCAAATTCCATACTGGTTGGGGTTTGGCACTAGGTTGGACAAGCAGCTGACCTGGCATACTCAGAGATTTGGGGGCCCTGCTATCTCTGACCCAATGGCAAACTCCCTAAACAGTTTAACACCCAACAAGGTTTGACCTGGAAGTGGCTTGATGAGAACTTAAAGACAGTCCTAGCCAACTACACAGTGGGCTCCACTGGAATGCACCCAAAGAGTAGCTTGAGAGTCATAGGACAGACTAACTAGTGTCAAGAGGCTAAAAGAAAAAACTGGGACAGACTGGAAATCTCAACACACCAGGTTGGCTATGGAACCCCAATTTGACAATGGCTATAAGCTCAAAAGCACTCATTAGTAAGCTGCCCCGGGGCCTGCAGCCCTTATCAGACACTAGTGTATATCCACCACCCTGTACATATGACCTCTTCCTCCAATGCCAAGAAAAGCCTGAGGGATGTTCTTCGCCACACCCAATTCAGGCCCTCTGAAAAAAAGGGCCCCTGGGAGCCAAGTGCTTGATGGAAGTAAGGAGTATACGCAGGCAGAAACCAAGCCCCAGGACTATAGCCCCCAACCAGCCAAGGCCTGAGGAACTGGTGAAGTTTTTATTAAATCCATAGAAGTAAAAACCATTTTTGTGAGGGACTGGGGATGGGGCCACCAAGGAGTAGGAGTTAGGCCACCAGGGTTGGGATAGGGATGGGGTAACAGGACAGATCAGAGCTGGGCTGGCCAGGCCATAAGGGCCCCAGCTTCAGGGGCCATCACCAGGGCCTCCAGACAGCTCCTGGGAACTTAGGCCAGCACTGGGCAGGCTCAGCGGCGGGGGCTCCACCAGCACAGCAGAAAACTTGGTGTCACCGAAGGCCTCATTCATGCGCGTCTCGAAGAAGCGCTGCAGGCCGATGATGGACTGCACATCCGCCTTGTCCTGGGACAGGCAAGGGTGCACAATGGGTGGGTAGTCCCTGGCTTCCTCCTCCCGCTTCCCCCACACCCATGCCCTCAT